AGGCATTTTCAGGCAAAAAACATCCAGATTCGAATTAGGGGCAGGAAGGATAAGGTGTGCGTGTGTGCAGAGGTAGAGGTTTCGATCCCTGCCTCTTGCAATGATTTTTTCTGTTTGTTTTCTTGCAGATTCAGTACTCTCCTTAGGCAATCCATCAGACACTTTCAACAATATCCTTCGTTGAATCGAAAGCCATATCCTTCCTTGTATCGAAGGATAACATCCTCCCCTAGATCGAAAAACAAACATCTCTCCCTGGATCGAAAAATCACATCCCTCCTTGGATCGAAAAATCATATCCCTCCCTGGATCGAAAAACCATATTTCTTCCTAGATCGAAGGATAACCCTTTGTATTTTCATTTTGTTTTTTGTTCATTTCTTTATTGACTTTATTATTTAAATCAACTTTAAATAAAAAATCATAAAAAAATAGGTTCTAGTCTTTTTATTTTATTAAAATTAATTTCGAAAATTTATTATTAATTACTTAAACATTTTTATAAATTAAAATCAAGTAGATTTAGATTTTTTATTTTTACTTTTATAAAAAAACAAACAAAAGATGTTTTTTAGGATTTAGACGTATTTCCAATTCACGTGAGTTTTTATGTTTTGCATTTTTATTTTCATATATTTGTATATGCCTAATGGATGTAATAGATTTAAACTAGGAAATTTACTGCTTTATCCCCCTCATTTTTAACATGTAAATAATTCCCCCTCCCCGAAGCCATGTAATACCATAGCTTTAAATTCCGCATTTTAAATTTCTGTAAATTTATTAACGGCTAGATGTACGATTAATAGGATTGCATGACAATATTAATAATCAAACGCTAGCAAACCTAAACATCAAGATAAATAACTGAACATAACACACTCTCACATGCGCACCTTTAGGGTACTCCCACTTAGGTTGCCTTCGGAAAATAGTCACGACTCTCGAAACGTGAGAGTTGTTAGTGGCTACCCTCCGGTTTTAAAAATATCATAAGTCCCTCGATGACCCTCTCGATGTTACCTCGGTAAACAAGGATCTTAAAACCCTAGGGTAGTTACTAAGATTTCTTGCCAAGTTGCCTTCATGACTATGAACGTCCCTTCGAATGTCCCTCAAACATCCAAACGAATAAGGCTACCTACTCACTAATAATAGGCTAGCACTGTCTAAAGGAAAGGAGGAAAAGAACGACCCTTTCGAGTAAAAGTAGATAGTTCCTAGATGCTACGCTAAAAAACAAACCTTTTTACACTTACACAAAACTATTTTCAAAAACCTTTTTGAAAAACACTTTATCAACACTCTTGAGGACTGATACAAGAGTTATCATAAAGCAAATCGCCGCACTAAGGAGTTTCAAAATAATTTTCTAAACACACAAGGCACAAGGTATTTAAAAAATGAGCTAAGCAACTAAGAGCCCGTAGAAAACTACGGATGGAAAGGGTGCTAACACCTTCCATTTCCATAATCTACCCCCCTTACTCAGAAAACTCTCGAATGGTCTTTTTCTGTTCTTTTCACCCTTTCCTTATGTTGGATAAAAGAAAAGTCGGTGGTGACTCTTGCTTACCGCAACATTTGCAAATACAAATGTAAAACCAGTATAACAGTTGGTTCTGCCACCGTATCACAGAACTGGCGACTCTGCTGGGGATTTTTAAAAAGTGGGGTTACCTTACAGTTTAGTTCATTCTATATTTGCTTTCATTGTGTGTTTTGTTTGCTTTAAATTTAAGGGTTTTCTTGGGTTTACTTGTAAAGATCCTACACCTGGATCTGGGACACCTTTTAGGTAAGTAGCAGTAGATCGTGGGGACTTTGTGGGGTATACTGAAATGGTTGAAACGATAGCTATGTTGGTGTGACACATTTGTTAGTACCGATAGCCCTTAAGTAGTCAAGGAGAATACGGGGCCGCTATGTAGTGTCATGAAGCACCAACTGACCTTAGAACCTTTAATTAAATAACTTGACCATTAGGAAGTAGTGAGATATCCGTCTTTGGTGAAGTCTCAAGTTTGTTGATACTCGATACTACACTCATTGAGATCTGACTTCCGGGATATTTCGGTCGCCAATAAAGAGGTTTACGCTGAAATAATGCCTGGTGAAGAAAGATCAGTGATATTGAGATCCCTTAGAACCCGATTACTATTAATAGAAAAGGTTGAGCAAACTAAACTTTAAGAGGGTACTTACCTATGGAATTCATGCAATCCTGAACCTAAGGATACTTGTGTGACTTGTTTGCTTTCACTATCTAACAAACTTGAACTCGTTGCAGGGCCTTGTTTATACTCCCTGCAGGATTTGTTTGTAATCATCATCCAATAACTCGGATTTCCTGCAGGACATACTTGTCTTCATCACCTTACATTTTTTGCTTGATGCTTAGCATACACATCATAACATCATGCCATAGAAGTTCCTTAACCATTTCAAGGATCTAAAGGGTCTGTGATGCGGGTGATGATGAAACAGATGTCTAGCAAGGGGGAAGGGGATTTATTTTGCTCTAGCCAATTCCGTGAAAGGACCAAAACACGACAGCTTGAGTCATAGACTATGACCCACTCGACACGGTGAGCTTGATTCTCATAGAAGGACCTTCAACGATACAAAAGTTCTTCAATCAAAGATGCAGTTAGATTCTAACATTTTCTTGTGTTTACCCTGTGTAATACCCCAAATTTGTCCTACCCCTTTTACTTTTATCTGGCTTATGCATTGTCACGCTTTTCTCATGTACATAACTCCATTAGGTCATCTAACACATCATTCATTCATTAATCGATAAAATGTGGCATGTGATCAAAGATTTCAAAGAATTAGGGTTTCTTTAAGGCTCAGAGGCTCTTGTCTTCATCCAAGAGATTCAAGCTGCTTCTTCAACAAGCAGGGAAAGATGCTAGGGTTTTAACTTGTTCTGGGAAGGATGCTAGGGTTTTCAACTTGTTATGCTTCATCAAGAATTAAATTGTAAGCTAAGGTTTTGGTTCCCTCCATCATCTCGAGCTACCTTGATTATCAGATTTTATCAAAGGCTAGTGAACTAGGGTTTATTACTCATCATATTTGAGCTTGTTGATGTTCAACAACTGAGATTCATTGAGTTTCATGTCAAGGTATCCTACTATGATCCAAGTCCTACCCTTATCAAAGGATTCAAGGCATTGGCTATCTTGTTACTCATCAAGTCGAGATATAGTGGAATTGGATTGCAAAATACAAGCCATGGTACAAGAGATGAGTTTGTGTATTCATTGTAATAAAGGCATCGTTATTCTTTCACATACTTGTTGCTTGTCATGAAATTTTGGTTAAGATTGGAAAATTGAATTGAATATAGGGCTTCATTGAGAATGGAAGATTAATTTGAGGTATTTATTCAAGTTCTAGATTGGATCAATGTTTGCTTTGGTACTAGTTACAATGTTGCAAAGGAATACGTCATGCAAGTTTCAAGTCCACTTATCCAAGTCCAAAAATTCATTGTTCAAGGCTTTAAAATTAAAAAAAAATCATTCATCGTTCATCATTCAAATTCTACAAATTTATGTCATCAAATTCAGGATTTTAAGTACAAGCATCTATTCATGGTTCATTTCTTGAAATTAAAGTAGAAAATCCCATAATAATTCAAAAGACAAGTACCTAAAGGTATACTAGCAGTTCGTATACATAGGAAAAGCAAGATCAGATCATCCATATTTTTACAAGCGGAGCTCTAAGTGATAATTACAAGGAAACTACAACTTCATGTCATCAAATTACATTTTCAAATCTCATTTCTCCATACACCTTCATGTTTCCTCCAATCTTCGAATCCCGCCTCGTGTGCAAAACCTCATTATACACCTTCACCCTTCCTTCATTCAAGTATCTTTCCACGCCCAGGCTTCAAAATCATGTTAGGCAAGCCACATTTTCAATTCTGCATAAACCAATTCCTACGTCAATACCAACAACATTTGGACAAATAAGCTAATTGCAAAACAGAATTCAGCCTGCTTCAATTATCCATCAGTCCAACCCTGCATTTTGTTCATACTAGAAAAATCAGAAAACAATAAAAAATAGCAGAATTGTTCAAACCTCTAACAGAGTCGGGAAAAACTTCTTCCAACCAAGAGAAAAAATAGATAAGTGCAAAACCAATTCATTATTGTCAAAAACAGAAATTTCCTAACCAACTATCCTAACAGAATTCAAAACCAGTAAATCTAACCATCCAATTTCTCTAACTGATTCCAAAATCAACAGCTGAGATCAAATTCATTCGTAACTAACTTTTGCTAAACTAACAACTCAAGCTACCTATAACAAAAAAATAAAAGAATTCTCTAACGGATCTAATAGCATATATAACGGAAAATTACCTTGATTGAGATCATTTTTTATCTGCAGAAAAATCAGCACCAAGAAACTCTAAAATCTCTCTCATCTTTCTCTCAAAATCTTCATCCATCTTCATTAATTTTTCATAACAATCACCACAAAAATTCTAAGAACTTCTTCATCATCTTCGATTCTACGTCACCATAACCGAATCTTCCTCTCTTGGAATTCATCACCTTCATCATTCATCATCTTCATCTGCATAATGCACAACAATAACAATAACCAGATTCAAGATCATTCTTCACGTTCAGAAGAATCACCAAAAATATCACAGAAAATTCCTCACATTCTGCACTCTCTCTGCATCTTCAAGGTTCAACAATCTTCAATGAACTTCTGCAATCTTCTACAAGACTCTGCATCTTCATTATCATCTTTGAGTGTATCTTCCTCAGTCTTCGTCACTGTAAATAAAATTTGCGCACCGCATCACAGTGAAAGGCATCATCGCATAACTTCCTTGTATCTTCAAGATTTTCATCGTAAAGTGTAAACAACAACAGCTTCACGACACAACTCAAAGATTTCATTATAAACTCAAAAGTTGAGAAAATAATGGATGATTTCAATCTGAGCTCTCATCACCGATGTCATCAAAGTGAGATCGGAGACACATTTGAAACTGCGAAGCAAAGGACGTCATCGAAGTGAGATCGAAGACACGTTTGAAACCGCGAAGCAGAGGACATCGTTGAAGCTTCAAAATCAGATGATAGAGGTGGATAACAGACACAAATGAAGATGATGACGGTGAATAAGACGATTTGAGACGGATATTGAAGAAGAAAGGTACGGAAGAGATGAACAAATTCTCGAAGCCATTGACGCTGATGCGGATCAGACTGAAACGAAGTCAAACACTGAGGCGATGGCCGTTGGAAAATAATCAGTCGACAAGCGAGAGAGAAGGAGAGCTTTGTTTGCATTCTCGTAGAAGGTGAATGGTTGTGTGATATTGGATTCCTAGGCGAAGGAAATACGATGTCGTTTGCAAAATCTCTTATCTCTTTCAATTATTTTAATTTAATCAAGTTATCTTTTTTATAATAAGAAGAAACTGGAAATTTGTTGAAATGGAACAAAGGTTGGATCAGACTGTAGCCATCCAAGCCCATGGCACAGGATTTTTGGAGACTTTCCTTGCTAGAATAAAAAAGATGCAATTGGACTGAATTCTGATTGGGCTTTATCCACTTCCTATACAACCCCTACTGTTTGTTTGTTACACCCCCTGTTCATAATCTTTAGATTCTTATATACTTCTTTTAATCAATTTGTGAGTTTTAGGAGATAATAAGAATAATAAAAACAATACAAAAATAGTAGAATATTTTAGGAAATATTTTTAGATTCTCTTTAGAATTTTATTAGAATTTTCTATTATTTCTATGCTTGGTAATCGCTTTTGTTGCCATTTTTAGCTAGGATTTTATGACAGGATATTGATGTAACTTTCGCGATGGGAAATGCTTGGAGATTAATTTTTTATCACTCATGCAGAGAAACTTCTGTAGAGTTTTCCTATTGCTTATATGGTTTTGAAGAGGAAACGGACCTTCTCCGTTCGGTATCATCGCAAATTCATTCTTATTCCTCATTTCCGCACTTTATTGATTTCTAGATATCATGAGAAGTAGGAAATAAAGAGCGTGCGCTCGAAGTCGCTGTTTAAAGACGTGTAGCAGGTATTCCACACTTCATTTGCTATATGTGTTGTGCTTGTGTTTGTTTCTTTGTTGATCGATCGATGAGTCACTCAATTTAGAAATTGAGATCACGACTTCGCTCTCAGTGCATGCTCCCTATACGATTTTATCGCTTTCCTTTATTTCTTGCTTATCGATGAGTCGCTCAATTTAGAAATTGAGATCACGACTTCGCTCTCATTGCATGTTCCCTAGAGGATAGTTTTGTTAGACTTTCTTCGACATGCTAACCTAGGCAAGATATCTTTAGGTGTGCTCTATTTGCTTGCTTGCTTGCTTTATTCTTGTACATACCATGTTCCCCTAGGATGCACTTGCTTCGTTCGGACGCAAGTTAGACCTTAGGTTGTAAACCATGCATGCTAACATTAGGTAGACGTTTCCCTTTTATTAATCCAAACCTTAGGACCACCATTGTATGATAACACTAGGTTAGAAATAGGCTAGTGTTGTACCCCAAAATTTTCCCTCTCATGTTTTCAAAGGTCTTCCCTTACATGGTTGGTCACAAACACTTGCTTAACGAAAATAAATTTTTTTGAAGACGAACAAAGTGTCTTTCAATTGGCATCTGGGAAAAGTCTTCGATTGGGTATCCAAAATCCTTCGATACAGGCTTGACTCACCAGTCTTCGATTGGGCGTTTGGCACTCTTCGATCAGGCTTTGATTAGTAAGCTTCAATTAGGTGTTTGGAACCCTTCGATCAAGCTTTGCTCTGCAAGTCTTCGATTGAGCGCTGGACCCCCTTCGATCAAGTCAATTTCACAATGCTTCGACTATGCATTAACTACTTCAGGCTTACCTTCGACTCACGAGGCAAGAATCTCCTACAAGTTTGTTTCGATTCACAAAGGAAAAGGCCTATCAACTTGCCAGCACACCAGCAAGAGGCTCATTCGAAGAACATGTAAATGACTCATTCGAAGAACATGTAAAGGTCCATTTGAAGAAGCATTCAAAGGGTCATTCGAAGAACATTCAAAAGGTCCATTTGAAGAAGCATTCAGAAGTCCCATTCGAAGGGCACATAAGAATTCCATTCGAAGGAGGCAACTCAAGACCAATCGAAGAGCATGGCCTGGAGGCATTCGAAAATCAAAGGTGTCCAGGTTCATTCAAGATTCAAAAGAGACATGAATATTTCAAAAAAGGAAATCTTTTAATATGTCTGATTCTTGTCTCATGGCTTTAAAGGCCTGTTTAATTGGTTGTCTCTTGCCGTTACTAGACCATCATACTCCTATAAATACAAGGGCAAGCATACAGTGCCGGAGGGAACACAAAAAAGGAGAAAAAAGAATGGGACGAGGATTTGGAGATACACTGCCCACAAACCCACCAAAGGTTATCAACATTTTCATAAGTAATCCAAGCCAAAGCAGCCATTCAGCAAACATCTCCACACCCAGAGCCACAGAACATACATCTTTAATTGGTAAGGGTTTGCAAAACCAAAATTGCACCTTCATGACATTTAAATACACATTGCATATGTATTCTTGTTATTACTGATTATGTTGCATGTAAGCTAAAGCGCAAAGATGAGATCATGCCATTGCTAGGGCACGATCTAAGTTTCTCCTTCGAATCTCAGGATAAAACAAACCCAAACCCAGATTCAGCAGATTCAAATTGAGGAAGGATTCGAATTGGGAGAAGATTCGAATTATGGGGGTAAAGTCCCCCCTGGATCTTTAACATTTGTCTTGTTTTGCAGGAAATATCTTCTCAGAATCTTGTACAGAGCTTCGAAGCTTAGCAGCTTAGCAGCTTAGCTTCGAACTGGATCCAGGGTTCCCAGATTGAAGGATGACATATCCAGATCGAACACCCCCAAAGTGCAGCCCCTCATGCACCTTCGATCAAGCCTCTTCACTGGATCGAAAGACAGCCCACACCTCTTTCGATCCAGGCCTCCAGAATTATACCTTTCTTGATTTACTGCATGTTCCTTCGATTTCATATTTGTTTTGACTATTTTATTTCTTTTTTTTAATCAACATAAAATCAATTAAAAAAAAACCACAAAAACATTAGGCTAGTTTTTCTATTAAATTAACTTTGTTAATTAATCATTTAATTATCTTAACATTTTCTCAAAACTAAAATTAAGAAGATTTAGATCATTTTCCCAAAATAAAATAAAACAACAAAAAAATTTTATTCTTAGGATTTTTAGAGGTTATTTTCAGATTCGCGCGCGTTTATTTTATTGTAACTGCCTACTGGTTTGTGATAGCTTAACTAAGACTTTTACACTTTACTGCTTTATTCCCCCAATTTTGGACATGTAAATAATCCCCCTCCCCGAAGCCTTGTAATAGTTTAGGATTTACAATTCCCGCACTTTAAATTCGTATACATATATTAACTGTTTAGATGTATGCTAACTAGGATTGCATGACAAGATCTGAAAACAAATGGTAGAACACCTAAATATACAAAGATAATGTAACTGAAAATCAATACACTCGCACATGCCACTCTTAGGGTACACCTCACTTGGTTTCCTCGAACATGGTCATTGAGTATAGGATGTTTTAGAGGTCGCCCTCTTGTCCAAAGATCATAAGTTGCCTCGAAACGGTTGCCTCGGATAAAATGATCTAAGATATTAGGGTTACCACTAAGGCGTCCTAACATTGCTTTAGTGACCACACGTCCCTTAAATTGAATTGACCCGAAAACTCCAACGACGATGCTACCTACTCCTCAATAGTTGGATGGCATTGCCTAAAGGACACTTGCACAGTCTAATTCCTTTTTGAGTAGGTAGATGTTCTTAAGTACTTGCTCCTTTTAAAAACAAAACAAAACTTTTCGCACTTACACCCCTTTTAAAACAAAAACTCTTTTCAAACCCACAAACACAAAGAAAAGCAAACTTTTGAAAACATAGTGAGCAAGTACCTAAGAGCCCGTGGATAACCACGGATAGAAAGGGTGCTAACACCTTCCCTTTCTATAATCTACCTCCTGAACCCGAGAAACATCTCGAAAATGAATTTTTCTGTGCTTTTGTCCTTTCCTTGTTGTATAAAATAAAAGACGGTGGCGACTCTTGCTTACCGCGACATTTTGTGAAAACAAACGCAAACGTGAACCAGCATTCCAAAACAGTCAGTTCTCATTCCCACCGATCACAGAACTGGCGACTCTGCTGGGGATTATTATATAAGTGAGGTGTACCTTAGGATTAGATCACTATGTTTTCAATTGTATGCTTTGTATGCTTTAATTTTGTGGGCTTGTATCGGAGTTCTATAGATCCTAACCTGGATCTGGGGATACCCTTTAGGTAAGTAGTAGTAAACTCTGAGGGATCTGTCCGGCGTAGACCGACACGGATGAAGCAGTAGCTACGTTGGTGTGGCACCTTAGTCTGTACCGATATCCCTTGTGTTGGAATGAGGAGAATATGGGTCTTCTAAGGAGTCATTAAGCACCAACTGACCTTAGAACCTTTAAATTGACCAACTTGACCATAGAACAGTAGCAGTATGCTACACTCATTGAGACTAAACTCTCGCGATGATTCCGGCTGCAAGAAAAGGTTGCTAAAATGGAATTATGACCGATTGAGGGTAGTCAGTGATATTGAGATCCTCTAGAACGTGGTTACTATTTTTAGGACAGGTTTAAACCAACTAAACTGAAAGAGGGTAGTACCTAAGCTCCATGCCATCCTGAAATCTAAGGGCTCTTTTGTGTGACTTGTGTGCCTTCAAACTTGAACTACTTGCACATTCTTGTTATCTGACAACATAGGTTCCTTGCAGGTTTTGTTTACAGTACTTATCCAATAATCTAGATTTATTGCAGGGCTTACTTACATCACCTCACACTTTTGCTTAAACGCATAGCATACACATCATAACATCATGCCTTAACATTTCTTTAACCATTTCAAGGATCTCAAGGGTTTGTGATGCAGGTTATGGTAAATCAAATGTCTAGCAAGGGGATTTATTTTCCTCTAGCCAATGCCGTCTAGAGATCAAAACATGATAACTTGAGTCAGGGGCTATGACCCACTCGATATGGTGAGCTTGACTCTTGAAGAAGGACTCTTAACGACACGAAGTTTCTTCAATCAAATCCTAACAGTTTATTATTTACCCCGCGAGATCCTTGAAAACATTTCATACATATATCATACATATCATTGCATTACAGGTACCATTACAGGTTTCTCATCTTCTTTGTTGTTTATTTCAG